TCACGAAGAATCGAGGGTATAAGCCGAGTTAGTAGTGTAGATAGTACTCGGCTTAGTATTCTATTCAAAGTATGATAGAAGAGCAGGATGAATGTATTTTAGATCAGCTTAAGAGAGGGCTGAGGTCAACAGTGTAAGTCATATAGCCAATCTAAATATTTGTCGGTATCCATGTTGGTAGGTCCTTTGAGGCATGAGAATTAGTTTCTTCACGGCTTTTGATGTCTTATTTCCCCATTATTAACAGCACTCATCATCAACCAACCCTGCTTGTTTCTTTGCTTTGCCTTGACTTGCCTGCTCGGCCTTGTATATTGGATGTCCACTCTGTTCTTCTCTCTGATCTGCTCTACCTTACGCATTGCGGTTTGGCCTGAACCTTTGATATCTCTTTTCGGAACAGATATCCCTCCAAAGTGGAGGGTCCCTCCCGCTCCCACCTGTGACTTTATTAAAGTACTATTAAGGATCATATCCCGGCCTCTTTTTTCTCTCGGTCTCGATCTTGTCCTTTTCGTTTGAAGCTTGCCTGTCAAAACCTGCACACTCCCGACGATTCCATTTTCGTTCCCATCCTGTCCTTGGCCACCTATCCTGGCCTTGTTCGCGATTGTCTCCGGCTCACCTTTGCGCCCACCAGCTCTTGCACTTCTATAGTCGAGTACGGATTTCTTATTCACATAATTAATCTTTCTCTTCTTTTGGTGATTTGTTTGACCATTTTACCCTTCATCTCTGCGTATTCTTGCGTGGGGATTCATCGTGGCGCATTCTCACATCCTCACCATCACTCGTGTCTCTCCAATCGAAACTGACCTTCAACGTTCCAGACGGTAACAATTCTCCCTCCTCGGCACTGGTATTCAGTCGAATGCGCGCGCAAGATTTGCATACTCCAAGATTTGACTCAAACCCAAGAGAGTTGTCAGACATTGCCAATTCCCCAGAACACAGCCCAATAAAACCCAACGCAACCCTATTAGTTGGCAGTCGGATCTCCCTGGTCTTGTGTGATTTGTTCCATCATCATCGAATCGTCAATCTAGACAGAACCACCCAATCCCAGAAGATTTCGCCAGCATCACCCCACGCCCGCGCCCTACAAGAAATTCAACCACACGACAACTTCACTAATCTTGGTTGCTTTTTCCTCACCTCACTCCTACTTGGCCATCGAAGATTTTCCTCCAGGACCTCGTCTTTTCTCTCAATGATGCACTGAGAAAGCGATACCCTCGGACTCGACTCGAACTGAACCTCACCGCCACATTTTCATCTCCACCGGCTAAAGAGTCGCCGTTCCCGGACCATGATCGCCGTGGCCCTCCGTCAGAGCTCGAGCATCGCTGTCGATATGGCCAACTCCACCACAACAGCGCCTTTGACCACCACAGGCGTTAGCACTGGCGTCAACAACAGCGCAGACACTAACACAGGTGCCACAGCTCCCGAGCTAAGCGATCTCGACTACTTCATCACTGTACTCCAATTGCCGGATGGTCGAACGGAGAACCAGATCGAGGATGACCTCGTTTCCAAGGCGAACGCCCTCGGTATCTCGAGTGTGCCCGTTGCTGATAAGCGTATCACCTCAAGCGTCGAGTCAGCTTCAACAGTCTACAATGCTCGAACATTTTCTATGCTCTCTGGCGGATCCACAAGCACCGCTCTGACCACACATTCATCTATCTTTGGTCCATCTACACCTGATCTAGCGCTTTCCAGTGGCCGGCAATCCAAGGATCTGAGCTTTTCCCAGTATGATCGCTATCTATCAGTGATCGATCCTCATCACAACCACTCAAAAACTACCAGGGACTCACAAACGCCCGATGCCACTGCTCAGAGTATATTCAGCGGCAAGACGAAACGCAGCCTTTTCAGCGTTAGGTCGGGCTTCAGATTACGATGGAAGAAAAAGGCATCCCCGCAGCCACTCCAGGTCATATTGTACGTCCTAACCCGGATTCCGACTAACATGGTATCACGAAATCAGAGTGTGCTGACTCTCGTCATAGGACCTGTGCGAGCTGCCGTGCGGACTTCAAGAGCTCCAAATCATTACACAGCATCTCATGTGGCCACACATATTGCGATAACTGCCTAAGATCGCTCATTCATACAGCCATGTCCGACGAATCGAGTATGCCGCCGAGATGCTGTGCTCAGCCATTGCCGGGATCTGTGATGAGGGATCTTCTCAGTCGCGACGCCCAGCAGGAGTTCTTGAAGGCCATTATACAATACAGCACACCCTGGCAGGCAAGGATATTCTGTTCCAACGCTTCATGCGGAGAATTCATCCCACCACATCAAAAGCTGGATCCCAAGTATCCTTCCAGTGTCACTTGCCGCAAATGCAACACAAGAGTTTGCCTCATGTGTAAACATAACGCACATCCGACAGGTAAGGACTGCCCGGAAGATTGGGCACTAGATCAAGTTATCAAGGAAGGGGGCAAACCTGGCTGGAAACGGTGTTACAAATGCCAGAACTTGGTGTCACTGGAAGAGGGAAGTACACACATGAGTTGCCGGTGTAAAGCCCAGTTCTGTTACACATGTGGAGGTGTATGGGACGCCAATACTGGGTGCCCGAACAATTGTGATGGAGAGCAAGAGATAGAACGGAGGAGAAGGGAGGAACAGGCTCAACTAGCCGAATATGAAGAAGAGAAGGCCGCACAGGAAGCAGCCGCTGCAGCGGCATCCGCCGAACGCCTCGAGGCCGAAGAACGAACGAGGAACAATGCCGATTTCTTTAACCTCGCCGAGATGCATCAGCAAGAGCTTAGACGGTTTCTCGAATTTGCCGAACAGGGCAGAGAGCATATGAGAGCACGGTTTATCGAGCAGAAAAAGTCAATGATGAAGCGACACGCCGAGCTCGAAGAGAGAATGAAAGAAGAGCACGCTAGGACTGTGAGCCAATTGGAGGATCGACAGGTGGCTGCCGAGATGGACCTAAGAAACACTCTGGAAGCGAGTGAGCGGAGTGTCAGGATTCGACTGAAGCATATGGAAGCTTACTGTGATGGATTGGGACGTAATAGTGCGAACTCAAGTCCAGGCTCGGACTCTCAACCCCATCGAGTGGTTACGGAACGCGATCTTCGAGAGCTCGGGCAACAGTACAATATTCGCGATGGCATGGAGAGGTCACATCAAGCCAAAATTAATGTCATGAGGGACCGCCAGACTAAACGCATGGAAGAACTCATCGACCGACAAGAGACCGAGTACGAATCCTTGCTCGAGCGAAATCGACAGGAGCTTGTAGAGTTAGATGCTCAAGCGGCCCAGGAGGAAGAAACACTGGCCAACACATTCACTGCACGAAAATCCAAGCTTGTGCGTCGATGGGAACTTGCCATTGAGATCTTGCGCAAGGAGCTCGAAGACCAAGACGGTGTCAAGTACGCACCAATTCCGACGCCGACTTGGTCTGAACAAAAAGCACAGGTTCTTTCGTCTTCTGAGTAAGAGAATTTGCAACTCTTATCAACAGCGTCACATTTACTACCACACAACTACCTTAACGATACAACGTATTATTCGTTCCGTTTTGCTTCACGATAAAAAGCAATTTTACGTCTTACTCTCTTATAATTTTGGTTTTGAAACACGCACATTTCTTTTACAGCATGATACCAGGCATAAAAGCCATGGGGCACGGACGACTTAGAGCAAGTCTCCACCGATTTATCTCTTTCTGGAGTTTCAAGCATTTTCTCAATAGCATCAGCATTGCATTATGGCCGCGTATTTAATTTATATATTGGTGGGGGCGAGACAAGCTCGTTTTGATACGATGCTCTGTTTGCGACCATACTCATACCCAGACATCGGTCTTGATAGAGCAGATATCCTAGAATCATAGAAGAAGGATGAGAGGGTTATCAGCCTCCGGGCTTCGTTTGCACACTATTTGTGTACGGATCTGAGTATTACGAAAGTTCTGGGGCGGGTAGCCTGGTTGAATGTGCATGACTGTATATACCCCGGGCTTGATAGATAGGATTTGAATGATTGACCGAATAAATCACAATGGTACTTCAAGCCATAGTACCACCCACCTGATAACATGTGTTTCGTAAACGGCATCTGGCTCCGGCAACTTGCACCAAAGTCGCCATCGAGAATGCTGTCGCACCAGCGGATGTAAGTCAAAAGCTGTAGCAGCGCAGAAGATTGATGACTCGTTTAACCAGTAACACCAGACATACGCTTGCAGTAAGGTATTGACATTGGAGGGCTGACGTTGGCGCCGAACCCTAGCCCCTTGTTCCATCCAGCATCCAACATCCGTGTGTTGCGATAACGAATATTTGGGGTGGGCTGATCTGTATTGTGAAATCCGTTTGGTCTGTTTGTCAAGCCTGGGGTTGCATCGTTAGAGTGGCAAACACGACTTGCTTGTGCATTCGCTTGTCGGAGAATACAACCATCCTCTTCCTTCGTGGACATGTAGCAAGTGTTTTTACAAGGGTGATTGTAAAAGACTCAGACCGTAGGACAAAACCACCCAATGCGGGTAATGTTGTTTGTTTGCGGCTGTGGCTGCATATCCTCTGTCTTGTTTTAGCAACAGGCGTCTCGGCAATTCGAGTAGGCTTTCAATAGTCTTGTGCGCGTATCCTCTGCTGGAATAGAACATGCCAGGATCTCATATGAAACACGAAGTCTAGCTTGAGGATTTTCAACACTAGTGGTTATAAATAGGAGAAGCTATATCTGAGCAGCAACCTCGGAAGTTTCATAGAGTTGTACGCTCTGTTGGCAGGCTAGGACATCCATTTTTAAGCATATATGACAGATCAACCCTGTTGGAGCTTTTGTGGTTGATGTGTGTTGCTGTTAGTGGGTATGAATATAAGTAAGAAAGCAACGCAACCGTTGTCTCGCCTCTGCAGATATGGCTGCATACGGCCGCAGAGGGCAATAGCACTGCGGTTTACGCAGCAGGTTACAATTTGCGCAAGAGATTGGCTGCTCTTTGATAGACGAACTAATGCTGGCGCCCGCAGCCACCAAAGAAGAACATGGTTCAATCGGTAAAGAACCCTGGGTGGAACGATAGCCACCCGTCAGCAACGATGCATATCATATCAGGACTCAGAGAGCCAGGTGAATATAGTAGGCAACGTTTTGAAAACTGCCGTCAGCCGTTGTGGCTTTTGAACTTGTCCAACTCGCCGCCAAACACGTTGCGAAAAGAGTGGGCGGGGATACGTACGTAGAATACCTCCACTCGCAATCTAGAGCTTGTCTTGGCTGAGTAGCGATTCCCTGTAAGAAAGAATAGTGATTTCCAGGCACAGTTTGTAAGGATCATGGGGTAAAGCAATCCATCCGGGCTCTTGCAGCCGAGGCGCTTATGTTTGCGCGTGCTCGAATCAACAATGCCAAGTCTTTGTTTTGGGTGAAGTCAAGATCGGGTTTATCGAGCTAAAAGAGAGGTAGCCACCAAATAAAGGGTCCCGTCCCCTCGTCCCCTGGAGGCGTGTGAAAGACCCCTAACGACGCTAAAGAACTGCCCCAAGAGACTTAGTTGGTGGCGTTCTTGCCTTGAAACCCGAGGGGACAAGAAATAGGTAGGCTCAGCCACAATCAGCCCAATTTGTGGTTCCATCCAATCCGTCTGCTGCCTTACCTTACCTGTACAGGCAGTCAGTCTGTTTCCTTTCCATTCCCTCCCCACCGGCCAAGCGATCTCCATATTCATCTCCATCTCGTCTCCATTTCCAATTCCATTTGCATTGCATTTGCATCTTGCATCTTCGAGGTATATTTGCCTCTCTAATTCGGCTCAATCAGTTCTCCTCATCTCTCCTTATACGGGCGCGTATTCGCCTGTGTCGTCGTTGTGCCTCCCCGCTGTTCGTCATTTCCGAAAGACCGTGCTGCCTCGACGACAAATCGGCCCAGTCAGTACCTGGCACCGAATCATTGACCCCCCCCGCTGCGGATTGCGAAGCTCTCCCCATCAGAACAGGAACACAAGGCTTCTTTCACCAACAGCTTCTCAACGTTACCATCACTGTTGTCGCCTCGACGCAAATCTCTTTTAACTTTTCCCCCGCGATTGTCACAGTGCTTATTGCGCTCCAATTCACTGATCCTACCTTAATCTGCGACGGAACAGTTCCTGCCCAATCTCTACTGCACGACCTGACCAGCTCGAGGAATGTGAGCGTCCACTTCAACGAAGTCTGACTCAAACAAACAACTTGGACAGTCCCCGGCATTCTTTACTGAATAATTTTGTGGGACATTTTCCCAAATTGACATCGGCATCATGAACGAATACCATCCGTCGGCGAACGACGCATTCTCTCCTTCACAGGAGCGCGACCGATCCGGCAGCATGTCCTTGGGCAATATCCCCGTGAGCCCTCAGGGCCCCCCATCAGATCACGGCGGTGCTGCAGTTGACGACGTCATAAACAAAGACCAGAAATCCGACGCCGACACTACATCGCCTACGCAAACATCAGGTCCATCCGGAGTGAATTCCGAACAGCTCAAACAAGTTTCGGACGTTTTGTCTTCCGAGGTACAACCTATCCCAGACAAAGAACAAGATGCATGATGCCTGGATAATGGTCTAACTGCATTCAATAGATTGGCATTGTCACGCTCCTGAATCGCCTCAAACAGAGTATAGCTTCAGCAAAGGTGAGCGAGTGTCTGGCTTTTGATCAGCTTCCCAACTACTGCCGTGACCCGGTTTGCTGACTTAGATTCGCAGGAATTTGCATTGTTCCTCAAGAAACGATCTAGTCTCGAAGAAGACCATGCCAATGGCATCAGGAAACTCACCCGCACCACCCAGGAGGTCATGCGCCGACCCGATCACCGCCAGGGCACCTTCGGTAACGCATACGAAGCTATGGCAAGCACCCACGAACGCATGGCTGAAAATGGAATCGAGTTTGCCAAAGAGCTACACCAAATGCACGATGAGCTTATGGAGCTCGCTGGTGTTGCCGAGCGCAGCCGCAAGTCATGGAAGCAAAACGGCTTGTCCGCTGAGAACAAAGTAGCAGAGATGGAGCAGGCTATGCGTAAGAGCAAGGCCAAGTACGACTCTCTTGCTGAGGATTACGAGCGAGTCAAGACCGGCGAGTCGCGCCAGAGCGGCAAAATGTTTGGTCTCAAGGGACACAAGTCAGCACAACAGCATGAGGGTGAGCTGTTGAAGAAGGTCCAAGCAGCTGATTCCACCTACCACGGGCACGTCCAGGCGTTGCAAGCTGAGAAGGCTCAACTTGTTTCAACAACACGCCCAGAAGCCATTCGAGCCCTTCAAGACTCGATTAAGGAGATTGATGCAGGAATTTCATTGCAGATGCAGAAGTTTGGTAAGTCTTTCCCCTATGTTCTTGGTCGTACAACCGCAGCTCATCTGTTATTTAGCCTCCTTCAATGAGCGCCTACTATTAAGCAATGGTCTCAGTGTCAGTCCCATTCAGGGTCCCGGGGCCCAAGGCAGCTCTTCTCAACGCAGTCTGCGACAAGCTGCTTCCTCGATTGACAACGACAAGGACTTAAATGATTATGTCACAGCGCAGCATAGGAGTGTGCCTCCCAATACTGGCGAAATCAAATATGAGCGCAACCCAGTAAGTGACTGCCAACGAGCAATCAGAGTTGTGACTCACGATTTTTAGGCACTTAACCCTCCGGGCTCCAGCAGCCAGCATAATCCAGGAGGTCCTGTCCAACAACCCGCAGCTGTTGTGCAATCACCGGTATCACAGATACAGCCCCCAGGCCAAGGCGGTTTCTCTGGACCACAGCCTCTGGGTCCAGGATCGAGAACTAGCACCCTTGGCCTTGGTCCTATTACTGGCATTACTGGTGGTGATCCTTCATTTCCCCCAACTGACGACCCTCGACCTTTTTCGCAGCCTCATAACAGGAGCTTTAGTCAAGGGAACATGCCAGTGCAACAGGGCACTCCTGGCCAACAGTTTTCCGGCCGGGGTCCCAATCAACAACAAGCACCTGGTCAAAGATATGGTAATGGGGGATCTATCAGTTCATCCGGCCCACCGCAACTTGGTGCTCTGCCCTTCCAGCCTGGCGGTTCCCCTCCTCAGCAGCCAGTTCCTGGCCAAGCTCCTCATGAACGTTCAGGAAGCGGGGTGAACTCGGGTCAAGGACCTCCAGGTGCTACACGGTCACCACCTCCCTATGGAGCTTCTAGTCACCCTCCTCCTGGACCTGGGCCTTCCGGGCCTGCCAAGCCAATGTTCGGCCTGCCACTAAGTCGTCTTTATGAACGTGACGGCTTGGCAGTACCAATGGTTGTTTACCAATGCATCCAGGCGGTGGATATGTACGGCCTCAATGTGGAGGGCATTTACCGCCAGTCTGGGTCCATGGCTCACATACAAAGACTAAAGAATATGTTCGACACAGGTACGTCATGTTCTGCTCGATGAAAAGCCAGAGCTAATCGTATAGCAGAGTCTTCCAACCCTGCTCTCGACTTTAGGAATCCCGAGAACTTTTATCATGACGTCAATAGTGTTACTGGCCTGTTGAAGCAGTTTTTCCGTGATCTCCCTGACCCGCTACTCACCCTCGAGTATCATGATAGCTTTATCACTGCTGCCAGTACGTCGCTCAGGCCCCTTCCTTTTATGTGTCTCCCTCTACTTGGCAAATACTGACTGATATGCACAGAGCAAGAAGACGATACAGTACGTCGCGACTCGATTCACGCGATCATCAACAGCCTTCCTGATCCCAACTATGCTACACTGCGTGCTCTCACTCTTCACCTCTGGAGAGTCATGGACAACAGCCACAACAACCGCATGAACTGCCACAACCTAGCCGTCATTTTTGGCCCGACACTCATGGGCACTGATCCCAGCACCGCCATTGCAGATGCGGGCTGGCAGATTAAGGCCATCGACACGATCCTGCAAAACACGCTGCAAATCTTTGACGAGGATTAAAATTGTATGTAAGCGCCTCATGTTGGTTTAGGGCTTAATATGTAAAGCTTGTTGGAAGAGGCGGAGAAGGGTGTTTATATTTATCCATGTTGCCTGTTTTTATGTTGCATGGCGTCTCGTATCTAATGCATGTTCGTTTCTTCGTGTGCTTGGAAATTAGTGTAGAACAACTGGGTGGCTAACATGAGCGCGTTTGTTTTTGGTGCTTTTTTGCGCTTGTTCAATCTGGCTCTTGCTCCTTACATGTGATGGCCTGTTGTTATATGTGATAGGTTAGAGCCGCAGTTATATAAACAGGCAGGCATTTTCAAATGCTATGGCTATAGGATAGTTACTATTGTATCTCGATCTTCACACATGGCACTTTTCGAACACGAACGACTGATGGTTCATGCAATACATGCATGGTATGGTTGCATAACCTCTTTTTTTTCGTCACTGCTCGTTGATAAAATTGGGCTTGGGCTACTTCCGGATCACTTCGTACGGAGCATTCCCACGAGTAGAGGATCAACATTGCTAGCATACACAAGATGGAAAACTATGATGTCTTATGTTCATAGCACTCAAATCACTTCCACGGGAGCCAGTTCGGCATCAGACCCACGTATCACAGGATATATATCAGTAAGCGCCGCCTTCCCGTGTGGTAATCCACTGGTCGAGATGGCGACATGATGCTAATCAAGTAACTTGATTGAAATTCTATGCTATTCCACTCCAGTGAGTAATGTAGACTAGACAAATGCAGCGAGCCTTATGCCCTCTGTTCTCATCAGACACCAAACTTGATGTCTTTCGTACATGATAAATGCTCAAGTATCGTGCATGTTCTGTGCTCGACATATCATCAGCCGTTTCACCAGTCCTCTTTGTACGCAGCGCCATGCAAAAACACGTAAGCAAACCCCGAAAAGCAGAAACAAAAAGAAATGCCTCATCTTCCCATAAAAAACAAAATAAAATGATCGACGAGACCATTGGTGTACTATGCCCGTTGTAGCCCAGAATAAACAATACTAAGAATAATATCCGCCTTGCAGTGCATATTATCGCTTATGCCAACATGCCTGAGTTCCGTAACAGGGGTATAGCCGTGAGAAGAAGGAAAAGAAAGCTCAGATACAGTCGGGCGTATGATAATGTTGGTGATGACGGTGATGTAAGTAGGGAAAGACCCCTGTACGCTGTACACGTCATGCGGTATGTAGGATGCCAAATCTCGGACATCAGAAATTTGGTTTGTGATGATTGGAAGACAAGACAAGACTGTCTTAAAAGGATCTCACTGGAGCTTGATAGCTTCAAAAAGACCTAGACTTAAGCTCGTATCGTTCTCACCAACATTGGGAGTCGGCTCGCTAAGCACCTCCCAGCGACGGAGAATGAAGGGACTCAGACGCTCCTGGACTACTGGCCCGATGCCGTATTGTGCACCCATGCCGCGAGCGGCAGCACTCTGAGGCGTTGCTGCCTTTTCCCGGTGGGAGAGCATAAGATTGTCTGATGGAGACGGCGGTGGTGAGCTGAATAGATAGTAAAGTCGAGGATCAGATGATGTTCCCTGATTGGGCATCCCGCCTGGAGTTAACAAGATGGCCCTAGCACAATTGGCTCGCAATTCCTCGGGCAATGCATCCACCAGGAGCATAGCAATGTCGAAGACCTGCTGCACAAGTGAGCCAACAGTAGCTGGCGGCAGTGTTTCCAACTCAAGTAGCAGCCCGCAAAGGACAAGGACAATGCGTGCTCGAACGTCATGCACGGGTGGGATAGGAGGCCGTGTCGCCGAGGCTGTGGGAAGAGGGGCTGAAGGTGGCTCGGACGACAAGCTATGGAGGTTAACGAAGCGAAGCATAGCGGGTAGCCAATGCTGCAATACAGCGGCGTGACAATTGGGACGCTCCTGAGGCCCTGCAGCGACGATTTCCCACAGGTCTGTCAACTTCTCGACCATACCCAACGATAGCTGTGCCGTCTTAGGGGGAGCTTGACCAGAAATTATAGCCTCCACTACTTCTAATAAGTTCTCGGCCATGCGGAGGGACTGCCGTGACCCAGTATCGACAAACTCAGGCGCCTTTGATGAAGGGATCAATTCGAGAAATCCAGTTTGAGCCTGTGTCTTGAGATGCTGAGTGATATCGTCACTCAAACAAGGTAACAAACTGGTCCACATGATGTTGCCTGCTTCAATGGCTCGGTCCATAGCCCTGGCAAAGATCTCGAAGCGAGAGGAGCTCTGGTCTTGCTGTCCATCATTTACGCTGGGCTGAGGCAATGACAGATCCAAGTTAAGCTTTAGCTGGCAGAACGGCAGTGTCAGCTCGTTGGCAATCTGTAAGATATGATCGAACGAAATTTGAGTCTCGCCCGAGTCTCCAGGAATTAGGAGTTTGGTGGTCACCTTGCGGACGAGACCAACAGCTTCAGCAGGTAGCGATTTGATGCCTAGAGCGTTTGAAACGGCGGAGGAATCCACCAGAACAAGAGTTCGTAAGGTCTCGAGCAGACTTTCTTGGCACACAGGATTGTCAAGAGGAAACTCAGTGTCATTGACATGATTTCTTACAGTCGAGTACTCGAGCAAAGCGTTTCGGACAAGGTTCAACAGACCTTTAGACTGCTCAAATTTGGCACACTTCTGCTCGGTATGAAAACGGTAACTTTCCTCAGCCTCAAGCCCTGTTCCCCGGGGAAGCGGCATAATGATGAGTTGTAAGAGTTCTTGTAAGTATGTCGCAGGACCGTATGTTTTTCTTGAAGAGTCTGAGGGAAGATTCTGGATATTCGCGAACGGAGGGCTTGCGGTGCTCATAATGATAGGCATTGTAAGACACCCTGTACTAATGAGAAGCGGGAATAAAGTAGAAAGGGAGGAGCGGTTCGATATGGAACGAAGGTGACTTGTCCAGTCGGTCATGAGTTTATCGAAATGGTGAGCATCGAAAACTCGTATTCTCGCGAGTAAAGTTGCATACACCCGGCGTGTATCGTCCTCCTTATCCCACCCGCGCTCGAGAGCAGGGATTATCATTCGGAAAAGCTTGTTCATTGTTGGAGGGTCCAATCGTGTTCCACTGGAAAGTGTTTTCTCGACTTCTTCCGCCACATTGTTTTCAGCTTGATGAGAGGGGGTTGCCACTATGTCGGAAACCGGCGAGCAAGCATCAATAGCGTTGTTGCGATCATTTTGGACGAGCTCTTGGCGAAGCTGGCTGGCAATCACCTCATGACCAGCCATGCGTTGTGCAAGACTAGAAAGAGCAGCAAGTAGCGGTCGTGGAACGATTCTTTGCTCCTCATTCATCATCCTAAGGCGCTCGATCAGACTGTTGAACAGTTCGTTTGCGCTATCCAAGGCGCAGAAGATTTGCAGGTTTGAATGGACAGTATCGGCAACGGACGCTAGAACGTCAGAATCGGCGGTCTTCGCGCAAGCTACAAGAATGTCGGACAACATGGCGTAATCTTCGGCCGTTTCCATGATGGCTCGAACAGAGGTGAACATAGTCAGAGATAAAGCGTGACCCTTGATAGTGAACTGCCCAGTTAACTCATCGCGCAAATGTGCCCCAATGCTGCTCCTGAGAGCAGTACTGCTACCGCTTATCCGTTGCAATAGCTTTTTGAGTGACATTGGCTTTCGTCCTGACAATGGATCATTTGGCAGTAAAGGGAGCTCCACAACATGCTTTACAACCCTGATCGCATTGGTAATATCTTGTTCCTCCTCAGCGACCGAATAGTTGCCAGCTCGCCTAAGCAAGTTTCCTCTTTCCGCCCTTTTCTTCTCAGATAAAGCATGAAGCGGAAGTTCGACCAGCAACCTGCTAGAACACGGACCCGATTCGGAATCGATTTCCGCGGCACAATGATAACCACCACGAGCGATAGTCCATTGCATATATTGAGAGACCGAAAAGTGGCCGGTTCGAACGAGTTCCGTGACAAGGTGATAGACGAGGTTCTTCCGTGCCTTGTCATTGGCGGCGATGTTATCGAGTGTCTCGAGAATGGGTGTCGTAGGGTTCACACGAAATTGGCTCCATTGCCGAATTAAACGGGCTGCGGCATAAACCTTTGCTAAACCTGGACGATGGAACGAAGTTGCCCACTCAACTACTGTCTTCATTATCAAAGACTTGTTCTCACTCGTTGCCCAGCATGCTGCGGCTAGATGATTGTCGCTAGACTCTTTCAAGGCAGCATCTAGCAACTTGACTAGCTGATTCCGCCCAGCAGGAGGGGAAGCAGTACTGGACACTACCAGACGCGAGTTTCGTGAATTGATGGTATGTAATGCCTTTCGAGCCTGGTCGTCATCAGAACGCAGACAAGCATGTAAAGTATCCTTGTATCTCGACCAGGCGCCGGGGTTAATGAAGCTTTCTGGGTTGGAACGAATTAATGAGCAGAGCAAAGTTGACAGTCTACTGGAGAGTTGCACAAGGAGGTCCTGATCAGGGTCGTTGGATATCTGGTCTTGCTTAGTCAAACCGTTTGAACCAAAAGTTGCGTGTGAACCTACCAGATGCAAGTGGCTGAGTAGGGCAAATACAAGCCTCCGGCCATACTTGCGTGACCTGAGAAGGTCTTTCCAGTAAATCTGAGCAATGAGCAGCCACATGGGAATACGCGACTGAAGACTATTCTCAATTCCAGACACAACCCAGTCAAGGTAATGATCTCGATCTAGCAACTGTTCTGAGTAAAGGTTTGTTGCTAGGCGAATGCTGCATGGCAGTTAGCTGCTGTGCTTCTGGACCAATAAGCATCGTAACTTACGCATATGTGACTCGATTCTTCCAGTCATTCTCACCAAACCCAGCAACAACGGCATCGACAAATTGCTCAACAAAAATGGTCCAGTCGCGAGCCCATTTCAGTTCGCCACCCATGACAAAGGCACCATTGACGCCCTTCCTCTTTAACCCTCTGATCTCATTGGCACCAACGCACTTTGCTAACCAAACAGCTCGCTCGGCAGGAACATTCTTGTTCAAGCATTGATCCAGTAAAGTTCTTCCGCGAATGCCGTGGGGAATTGTTCGGCTAAGGCGTCGAAGGGATATCGCGGGATTCGCAAGATCCTTGAGCCAGACCTCTCTCTTCGTATCCGTGAGCGTTACTCGAGGTGGTGGTTTAAAAGTCGAGGGCGCATTGATCTGTCCTCGATGTCTGCGCTGAGTCAGAACTCCCATAAAAATAGTAGACAATGCATTTAGGCCAGTCTTTTGCTTCAGAGCAGGGAAGATGGCAAGCTTAGCAGACGAAGTTTCGGGAACATTCAAGTTCACCTTATCCCATGTTCCTTTAGTAATCGCTTCGCTGCTCCACTCGTCTTCATGATGTGCTCCATTCCAGGGGAAGAAATCGGCGTATCCAGTGTTAAGACCCTTGCTGAAAGGGTCAACGGGATTTCGTACTGCGGTTTCGGGTCGGTTGGCTGAGAAGTATCGTGGTGCGGCGGAGGGAATTTCAACGGTGTATGGTTTTGGTCGGGCATCTTTCTTGGCTGGTGCAGGCGCAGTCGCTGTGATTCGAGGAGCGGATCTCGGTTGTGAAGTTACTGGTCGACGTGTCGGCATCGGCATCAAAGTTGAGCTGGCGCTGGCGGCAGGGCTGCCGACCATAGCTTGAAAGGGATCGGAATTGGGTATTCGCGAGGGTGTAAGAGACTGCGGCGATTCGGAAGTAGGCAAAGAACTGGAAGAAGCATTGTGTGATAACTCGAGCCGAAGACGTGAGCCGCCTCTTCTAGGTGTTGTGTGATAACGATTAGGGGTAGCATCGCCGGCGTCGGCAGTTAGATCGATGAATGATGCATCTTTTCGAACTGGCGAGGCGGCGGCCATAAACTGCTGCTGATGTGATAATGATCGCTGCGGAGGGGGGCGCTGAACGGGTAACGACGATGAGCTCACGGAACGCTGAGGCGGCCGCGGATGGGCGCCCATTGTGGTCCGCGAGGTCATTTCTGGGTCGTGGGCGGAGGCGCCATTCCGAAAAATCTAAATAAGGGATGTGTCGACTTGTGTTGTAGTTGATGATGGATAACCACAGTAAACGCGATTCCTGGAAATGGTACCGTGATGTCCTACAGTATTCGGTGGCGCCTCAATACTCGAAGGCGAAATGGTGTCTGAGGTTTGCGTTCCTCTAATCGCGCTGTCTTTGATACGTTGGTAACGGTAGGTTTGATGAGCCAGCCGCGCAACCCGAAGCATAAATGGACAAATAATCAACGTGATTCGGGAATCCGAACTCGATTGTTACCCATGCGTTCTATCATTCCCCAACTATCACAGCCGCGATTGCCGTTGTTGTTCCGGATCGATAGTATGGAGCCACGGACGCGAATGGCTTCGATTTGGTGGAGGTAGGTTGTTCGAGTCGAAGAGGAGGAAGATACGGATGCACAAACTGGAAAGAATAGTGTCTAGATAGCGAAAGTATGTACACGAGCGGCACGGAACCCCGACCGAGAGCGGCAACTGTCGATGGATTATGAGATGTACAGATGTGGATGGGGTCAGACGGGGCGAGGTAATGTTAGGTAGGTAGGTTGAGTTAGAGCGTTTCTGAGGTGAGGCAAGGCAAGGTTGGCAAGGTACTAACTTAAAAAGGCCCTCAAGAGGAAATATGGAGACGAGACAGGAGTGGAGATGGAGGTAGAAACTACCAACGGAGAGATGGCTAGTGTGCCGCGACAACAGGGCTTTTGCGTCACAGGATCAGTTAGACACTATATCCGCAAAGTACCAATGACATAGCTTCGATAAGTTTTACATGGATCTGCCCCCCCATCCGGGCTCTCAGCCGTCGCTTGGTCGGTCCCTTGAATCGTTTATTACGCTGGAACCCTGCCCGGACATTTTGAATTTGGGGAGGGTTTTGTTCGTCGCTTGTCTCTTGATTCTCGGGACTGTGCGGGCCTGACCCGAGCTACGGGCTTAGACTACGGCTATGGCTGCGGATAGGGACCGACGGGGCCCGGGATTGGGGAACCAATTCCATTACATGAGTCTTATTACAGCGCGAGACTTGGGGATTTTGGACGAGAATGATTGGGGGAGATGTTGAGGGTCAAGTGGCGATGTATCGTGAGAGGTGACTCGTGGCTGATTTACTATCTTATGTTAATAACTGAGGAATCCTGAATAACAGGCACCTCTACAGTGCTACGTGTTGACTCTCCAAGGGATAAGCGGGTGAATTGCTTGTAAGGATTGAAGATTGACGGGCGGTTTGAGGTGAAAGCGTTCAGGTCACATCAGAGTGCATAACATTGTTGTGTTATTCAGGGGTTACAGTTGGCTACCTAAGCTTGGCGATCAAATAACATTACAGCCCCCCAGCCAAAAGCCATACACCCCGCTTGAAGGCACACAATCGCGCAGCTAAGATCTCAGGGAAGCATTTGCCTCGTGGAATGTGCGTTATCTATTGGTTTCTGTACAGTTGTATAGCGCTTGCTGGGGAGTGACTGATGAGAGGCCTCAGGTGTCATGTTGACTCGGGTAAATATATCGTCACATTTGCACGCAGAGACATTTCTGCCAACAAGGAACCCAACTGGGAAATGCATCGTGCTTAAACCTGAGCACAATAACGAGTCTCTTTCTCTCAAAGGCTTGTCTCGGTTTCTTGCGATCCATATCAGTGGAACATGGATGTCAGCTACTATTCGACCAACCAAGTAACGAAAACCAACCAGCCATCATTTCTTGAGGTGCTTCCCATGACGGCATTCAGCCAGACGAGAGCGCTTCATTCGATGGCATTTCACCTTTCCACCAACTTTCAGCTCCCCCCTCTTCAGCCAAGCCTAAGCGAATTGGACATTCTGATGTCCATCATCAACCGTCACCATTCACTTAGTTCAACCCCCAATCTAAGCCATTGTAAATAATCGACCGATAGTTCCCCATCCAGAACCTCGACCTAACAGCATCAGCGGCCAAGCCATGGTCTGTGTTCCCACCTAAACCACTCTTCTTGGCTGGCCCTTGGTTCTCTTTTCCCGGCGACATGGGTATTTGGACTTGGGCTTCCGGGGAGGCAATAAACACCACATCGGCGCTGACAAAAAGTGAGATGCTTGCAGTAAGCCACTCGCAAGCCCCGATAGTTGTGTAGCTTCGAGAACGGTAGAAATCCCCCTCGCCGGTGACTTGATGGCTGTCGCCAGACTTAAAACAAAATTGAATAAGTCTATTCACTGGGATGATTGGATGAGCCTCTACTGCCTCAGGAAGGGACTCCGTTGTGCGGATCATGGGGTTCAACTTCAATATGGTGCTGCTGTTGGGCCATACCAGCCGCTCTCGGCTTGGCTATCATTCGCTTCGCTCGACAGGGTCCTGCGTTTGTGTTGCGGTGTGCCAGTTGATGCGGAGAAGATACCCGTAGATACGGGATGATTGTCTTATCAGCTCATATCCGACGCCATCCCGTATGCAAAACAAGCCTCTTCATGCATGTATCACGGCTAATTTTACAGCTCTAGGTTGACAAAGATAGCCTTCGGACTCTCAAAACTTGTCTGTCTGCTGGCCCGAGATCCTCTACCGACTGCCTAGTAGGGTCGTTGATTGCATGAGCACTTAAAGTCTAAACATCAGTGATTCCGAGGGATAGACTAATGACTTTCAACAGTGCAACAAACCTTCCTCTTTGGGGGAGGCCATTGTCCTGTGGTAATGTTGTTCCGTAACAAAGGCCTTTTCACATGCGGAGTTCCGTGATTCGTTGCACTGAGCCGTTCTCATGTCTCTTTGTACCGTAGATCCTTTGTACTTGTGCCCCTGTACAAAGCGGTGCCTTGAGTATCACGTAGACGGTTGAGGGTTTCTGGGACACTTTGATATACGAATACCAGTATCCGTAGGATACCCCATATTAACAGTAGGCTGAGATTGTGATGAGCTTGATGGATTGAGGTAAGCTATCAACAATAGGTAGTCTACGCTAGCTCATCCCATGTTTCTCAGAATATTGACGCATATTCCCCCCACAAACACGCAGTTGACCCAGTCTATGCACCTAAAAAGAACTCACACGTAACGCAAGGTATCGGATCGCCCGTGGCCCGCCGGATCAGTCCGTGCGACTGCGTTGTGCAACACACGATGACTATCGCTATCCCTTGCACCAGTCAGAGGCATGACATCTTTGCCCGTCCCTCCCGAATGCAGTTAAGTGCACGGTCACGTAAGGAAGGGAGTGCTACCCTTTGTGATGGGACACGGATCGTCACGAGCTCGGAGGTCAAACAACTATGAGCCAAGACCCCGATCATTGGAGGTTGTGACTGGTGGCCACACCACACGTTGCCAAGCCCTCGCGACGCGGCTTGCCAAACGTGGACACTGCGTGAGACAAACACGCTCGTATCTCATTGCCAATCCCGTCGGACCGTAGCACAGCAGAAATGCATGTCAAGTGAGACAACATGTCTCCCAAGATATTCAAGATTTTGTTAATTCGGTTATCTGCGTGTTGTGTTCAAGGAATCTCCTTGAAGAGTACAAGTTGTCATTGTTAAGGGACACAAGGATAATGTTATGCAAGAAAGGCTGGCGCTGTCCTCCCAGATGATTACCGCCCCAGCTTATGTAAAATCAACTCCTCCGGTACAAACAATTGCGGCCGCGATCAAGTATGGCACTATGTCCGTAGCCAACATCCATATGCAAAAGAGTGTCCCTGCTCGAATCTTATATCGTCTCAAACAGAGGAAAAAAGAAAAGAGTGCGTCCATTCGGATCAGGTCATGTCACTATTACAGTTCTGCAGCATTGACTGACCACTCGCTCCAACCTCTCTCCTCACCGGGAAGCTTGATGCTCTCCCATTCATCTCTGGTAACGCTCTTCCACTCATCAACGGGCAGCCAGCCGATTCGGGCACGGTCACCAAAGCCGCCAACCCAGTAGATCTTGGTTACGACCAAACGCGCCCAAGCGCTCTCATGAATGACATTGCCAGGCAACCAGTACTTGGCGTCCTGGTGCTTGCGCGTGAAGCATGCCGCAAGTTTCAGGGCTGATACCGGTGTGGTCTCGATGGGCTCGAGATACCCAAAGAGGGCAAAACGTGGTAGGTTGGCCGCTGAGTAAGGAACAGTGTCCGGCGCGGAGAGCGACTCCTCCGGACGGCTGTTGTAATCGTAGCTGGAGAGGAAGGGGATATATGCCGAGAGTCGTGAAAGCAGGGAGATACGCTTAGCGGGCGGATAGGGTGGGACCCAGTTCATGGAGAGGGTAAGGTTTGATCCAGCCCGAACGTTCCTGAACGTTGTTGCGATCTTGATTTCGAGAATGGTAGGGTTACCTTCATCCTCACAGTCCGCCACATAATCCATCATTCCAATAGGGACGCCCTCAAGTCCATTACTGTCGGTCTCGAGTTCTATGTTCGATCGTCCAGAAGGGAAAACGGTCGAGAGGGTCGCCAGCTTGGTAAGAGCAAGGATGCGGCGCGCCATGACAACGGACTCATGGACCGTTGGGATCTTATGAGGAGCGTTTGTATCAGCATTATCGTTGTCGCCAAAGATGTTGGACGCCGGCGTGAGAGCCTGCGCCGTGGCAGCAAAGCCGGCGATGGCATGCGAGAACTTCATAATGTCGTTCCAGGTCGTATCGCGTGGGTAGAGTCGATGGCACTGAGAGGCTGATGCGAAGGTTCGCCTGTGATGCGCTGGACACGGTTAACCAAGAATGAGAACACAGGGAGGAAGAAGGTGACAAAGGTAAACCAGGCGAGGCGGTGGGAAATCAGATGGCTTTTGGCTTTGGATTCTGTTGGCGCGTGAGGAATTTGCTAGTGAATAATGGCGGAAGTTGGCCGCGCTAAGCTGAGGGGAACTGATCCCATGATGGATGATGTTACTCTCGCCAAGGCTCATGTCAGTAGATTGATAAGATTAGATCCTTGCATGCTATCGGCTGAAACCGGCCGGTGACCGTTGAGCTGCCACCATCGACCCACAACATCCAACATCTCGATGTCGCAAGACGGGTGATGAACGGAATTGTTCATTCAATTTCTTGATATGAATCAGCAGCATTATACTAGTATCGTGAGAGGTAGCTGGCTTCAGCAAGTGTATATATTGCTTTTATACTGGCAGTATCAAGAGTCTAAAGGAGGCAAGAGAACTTATGACCTCTAACCGAAGCGACAAGAAAACCTAGGCAAGCTTAGTATGACTGGGCTTCTAGACACGTAGTTATTCTTGGCACCCTGGTTTATGTTTACAAGTTTTCTTTCTCAAGATATTGGATCCTTCGTCTGGTTATGAGCAAATATAGTACCCACACAGCATTTCAGTTCGAAAGTTTTCGTACCCTGAATGGGTTATCAGTGCTCGTCAGTTGCTCCAAAGCTCGCGTTGTATCTTAAACAGTGCTTATTTGTCGTTGAATATTATGCGAAGTCGTGATCACTGTACAGTTATGTGTCACTTTCGAACCACCTTTCCGACCTGGCAAACAACACCCGATTGACGACATACGAGCCCCAGCCCCAGCAATGGGCTAGGCTCAGCTCAATGGATCCAAGGTACTAAGGGCTCAAAGCACATTCATCTGGCTTATCTGACATTCATTTCCGGGGCAGTAAGTTAAAGTAAAAATCATAAAACCCCCATCACAGACAGTGGAGTGTATTCCAGAGCACCAAGTTTTGAGATGACGCTATCTATGATTGAGAAACAGAGACTTCTTTCTATTTAGAGATTTCAGACAGCTACCTAAGTAGGCGGCACTTATGATCTTAGATATTATACTCGGAGGGCAACTAAGGTACCAAGTTCACCTCCGGCCCAGCTGCATATTGACTAAGGTATCTACCCTCAACATCTCTAGGGGGCTAGGTATGGTACTAGGTGGTTAGGTATGAGTTAGGACTACTACGTACACCATCAGGATCTCTTCGTTTTGCTTTTAGTCCGGATAACTCGGCTACTACTCCAGGGTATAACCGGTTTAGATACAGTAGATAGGAAGTGCCTGAATAAGATTCGAATTGTCCAAAATCTCGGTCGCCAAATTCCTTCTGCATATCAAATTCGGTTTGACCCAGCGAGAACAAGCCATTGTAATTCCCCCATTCTTACCAAGAGTTTCATTTCATCCAATTCGATTGATGCCGGTTGTAGAAGATTTACTTCCCAAACCATAGGCAAAAAGCCAGTCAACACAATACCAACCAGAAAAAAAGAAATTTCAACGATTTTCCATGTGATAGTTGGCATTTCATGTACCAAGCAACTGTCTTAAGGGCCGTGTATCGTCAACCATTCAAACCAGATTTGCTTTCTCCTTCTCCAGTGATGAGCTTGACTCAACACATCTATCTACAGGTAGCTAAGTCGGTATACCGTACTTGTTACTCACATTTGTCGTTTGCTCTAGCTGTCTGAGATGCACCCAGCCTCTCAGTAGGTATGCGAGGATCTGCCTTGTAGACTACCTTACCATTAGCTGTCACTCTCGTCTAGGAATTCTAGCTCAAGAGTTAGAAAACCCATACTCTTCTTATCCTACTCCAGTTCCCATCTACTTGAGGATTTTGGAATGTTACCAGCGTGAGGACAATTGACACGGAGGCAAAAGCTTGTAGAACCAACTGATAACATCCACTTTCAACATCACCTAGTTCTGGTATTTTCCTGTTTAGAATTTATGAGACGAAATTTCCTAAACAACGGGGTTCGTCGAAGAAGCCATCTGTGTAAGTAAGTAGCCATACAATCAGAGTAGCTCAACGGCTACTAGGTATCTATATATGAGAAGGTATGGATTGTACATGATTTAGTTCCCTTCGTCTTACTACAGCCGAGAAAAAATGATCCGCCTTTTGAAGTAATGTGCATGCTTCAAGAGACTATCAGAATTTAAGATTGCGTGCCTTGCTCAAGCGACAGCACGTCAGCAAAATGGAGATCATTCCTATTTGATGGCCGGATGTCCAGGTAAGGTCCATCCATGCCTTACCTTAGTGGATAAGGCATGTACGTCTTGGTTGCAGTAGCAACCATCCGTAGGTCGATTTGAAGGGACAGCCAATAGCGTTTTAAGTGGGGTCCTGCCCGATTACTTGTAAGTTGTTGATCAGATCTTCATCGAGCATCTAGGTTCTTGCCGTTCAGGCCTGTCCTCTCCGATTTATTGTTCTTATTGAGAGTCAGCTTCCATTTGACTTAAATTTTATCAAGCTCCATCATCGTCGGTAAACTCGCTTTCTTAGCACCCATATAAATCTTCTTTATTGAATTTTACTTCCACTGCCAATTCAGTGTTGATTGTTATTCTTATCTCTTCCCCACTCGCCGCCTGTCCAAGCCCAAGCTAAACAAAACAGAGTCCACCCACTAGTCTACCCCTCGACTCCAACTCCAGCTCACATCGCGACAACTAAACATCCCCACCATACACTGCATCGCTGAGCCATTCTCCTTCTTCTTCAATATTCTCTCGCTCAATTAAGCAAACACCCTCGGAAGAAGATAAGCAGCCATGGCTAGCTTTATGTCCAGTTTCTTCCCTGGAGGGAAAGAAAAGAATCCGGCCAGCGAAAATGGCAGTTCGCGACCTGCTACGCCATCCGCCAGGGTGGACAACTTCCTCAACCCCGCGAGCACACCTCAAGGTAGCCCGAGCAAGAAGACCAACCCTCCTGGCTCACATGACCTCCCATCTGCCTTCGAGAGTGCCTTAACACTCAATCCTCCCGTCATGGAACCACCTCTCAAGTTGGGCCGCCCTCAAAGCGCTGTGACCCCGCTATCACCTGGCAAGACCAAGGTTCAGCCCCTCGACGAGTCCAACGTCAATGTCGATGAAAGTGTCGTCCATAAGACGCGGCCTGGGAGCCCTCACAAGAAACAAGGCCAGGAGAACACACCCCCTACCTCTCGATTGGCTGGCACCGATTCTCCCCACCAACATAGCCATGCTGCCGTTACCCGCCAACAACACTATGAGCACAGAGACCGACCAAACACGCCTGCGACGAAGAAATTCAACACAGCTCGAGGTCTGACACCCGAAGAGCGAGAGATTCTTCAGAAGCCTAACGTTAAGCGACTCGTCAATGTTACTCAGCTTTGTAGGCATCTCCCAACCCATCGATTGTGAAGCGCATCTTATCGATTGGTCTCTAATACTTGTTAGACTTCCTTGACTATTACTTTGACCTCCTTACCTATGTTGGATCCAGACAAAAGCGACTAGCAGCCTTTAAGAACGAATACCCCCCGCCCCCAGAGACTGACGAGCAGACGCACAACCAAATGTGGACCAAGTACACAGGACGAGAACGTGCCAACTTGCGCAAGCGTCGAGTTCGACTTCGACACGGCGACTTCCAGATTTTGACTCAAGTTGGTCAAGGTGGATACGGTCAGGTTTTCTTGGCTCAAAAGAAAGACACTCGTGAAGTTTGTGCCCTCAAAGTCATGAGCAAGAAGTTACTGTTCAAGCTTGACGAAGTCCGTCACGTTTTGACGGAGAGAGATATTCTGACCACCGCCCAAAGCGAGTGGCTCGTTAGACTCCTCTACTCTTTCCAGGATGAAAAAAGTATTTATCTTGCCATGGAGTACGTGCCTGGCGGCGACTTCCGCACCCTGCTTAACAACACCGGTGTGTTATCCAACCGCCATGCCCGTTTCTATATCGCCGAGATGTTCTGTTCAGTTGACGCCCTGCACCAGCTGGGCTACATCCATCGAGATCTCAAGCCCGAGAACTTCCTTGTCGATTCTACAGGACACATCAAGTTGACCGACTTCGGCCTTGCCGCAGGTGTGCTCGCCCCGTCTAAAATCGAGTCAATGCGCATCAAGCTGGAAAAGGCATCCGAAAGTTCAGTTCCCTTCGGCAAGCCCATGGATCAGCGAACCGTGGCTGAACGTCGAGAGAGCTACCGGACAATGCGCGAGAACGATGTCAACTATGCCAAATCCATTGTGGGATCGCCTGACTACATGGCCCCAGAGGTCCTTAGAGGGGAGGAATATGACTTCACGGTGGACTATTGGAGTCTGGGTTGCATGCTGTTCGAGGCACTCACTGGATTCCCTCCTTTCGCGGGTTCCACCCCGGATGAGACATGGCGTAATCTGAAGCACTGGAAGGAGGTGCTGAAGAGGCCTGTATGGGAGGACCCCAACTACTTCCTGAGCAACAGAACTTGGAACTTCATCTGCACGTGAGTAAACTACACGCTTTTGGTGCTTGGTTATGGCGAATTTAAGCTGACTATCCCGTAGATGCATCAACTCTCGCACAAGACGATTCTCGAATATCAAAGATATCTATGCTCACCACTATTTTGCCGAAGTTGAATGGGATGTTTTGCGACAAACTCGTGCGCCATTTGTTCCTGAGCTGGACTCGGAAACTGATGCGGGCTACTTCGATGACTTTACCAACGAGGCTGACATGGCCAAGTACAAGGAGGTTCATGACAAGCAACAAGCCCTAGAGACAATGGCTGAACGCGAAGACCAAATGAGCAAGAGTCTCTTTGTCGGATTCACGTTCAGACATCGCAAACCTGCAACAGAAGAAGGCGGGAGCCCCAGAAAGCGCATTCCCACTGATGAGACGTTTGGGACGATGTTCTAGGACGAGCCCCAAACTCCTCAGAGTGTGGTTGGCTGGCGAGGTTTTGTCAACAGGGGGAAAGCCCTCTTTTGAAGTGATACGAGCGGGTTGCCCTGGGACCATATTTTCGGGCCTTAGTGTGTGACATGCATACCATCACGAGGATTCTTGATGCCTTTGTTGGTACTTGAACCTCCCATTGCTTTTCTTCGATGTTGCTGTATTATCACTTCCGATCTTGTGTTCGGTGCTGCAAGTTCTGCAGTTCTGTTTTTGTGCTATTCGTTTTCGGCAGGCAGGAGTTCTATACGGACCAGGTTTTTGTGTACGGTCCGCTGGTATGGAGTCTGAGAGTTGTCAGGCTGCCCACGATAGTTGCGGTTATGTATATGATTTGAGATTAGTTTCCCTCCTGACTTTGGCAGGTATGAGGACAGGGGGGGGTTCCGAAGATAGAAAAACCAACGCCTTCGTGTTGGCGTTTGCGAAGCAACGAGTAACTAATTCTGACTTGACACGGCTTCTTTGTGAGAGCATGTACGCCTTTATGTTAGTCAAAGGTAGGAAGGTACATACACCAACCTTGCATGTCACTGCTCGTCTACTGACATACGACTCGAGATCACAAGGGTAAACTTGTCGTGAACGAAAACATGCATTTGATCTGAGATATTAGACTTGTTTTCTCAAGGTATCGGTCCCAATCATTATCAAGCCTATTCGGTGGTTTCATTGATTTATCGTGCGTGGGTTGCCACAGTTAAGGAAGGATTTGCGAGAGAATGAACGAGAAGTATATAATAGACTCAAGTGGTATCATCAAACCTCTTTCAAAGGGTGTGTTCATTGCGAAGTCCTGTCCCATTCATCAAATTTGCACCATCACAAAACCTTCCCATTCGCTCGTTTCCTGTCCATCTATAAAAAACAAAAATAGAAACCCTCAGCCAATCGTCAGATCTATTAAGCAGACGTTTGCACTGTTGGATAGTTGTCGTGACGACTGTGCCATTTCTCGACATTATGCAGCTTTTGGCATGTGCATGACTGCCCAGCAATAACCATATATCAAGAGCCCATTCCCTCCATAAAACTCCAGCAACATCGGACGCGATACAATCCGCCACAAGTTAACAAATCCAAGTAAGGTATCAGTCCGTCATATGCTCAAGTCCTAAAGAAAACGCCACCATCTAAAACGCCTCGAAATCATGCCCCATTTCGCTAAAGTGTATCGTCCGCAAATTTTGTACCCTCGTTCAAGGCGGAGCTTCCAGAATCTCCATCATTACCATCAAAGCTAATTGGTTCTGTCTTGTTGCGATCACAGACTCATCGTCAGCCATTCCCATTCTTGAGGACCGGCAGAACTGCCAATCAACGAGCTTGTTTGTCCACCAGACATGCTGATCATGCCTGTGGCCGAGCCTAGCGTACTGGGTCGCTGGTTCAAGTTGAAGCTGCTGGCGGACATGCCACCAGGCAAGCTCGAAAGTCCAGCTGAGGAGCCGAAAGGACGCGGGGCGTCAATGGAGCTGGTTGAATCGGGACTGTCGATATCCATCGATACTGGCACATCTCCTCCAATGCTCTTGCTGTGGCGGCGTTGCCGTTTTGAAGAAGCAGTGGCGGGACGCTGCATTGACATTGATGAGGCACCAGGTCCAGGGCTGGTCTTTGGTGGTGCAGCCGCAATGGGGACAACCCCCTTACCACCCACAGCACCAGAAGAGGGTCCTGGACCAGCAAAATGACTGTTTGGAGTGCTTCCAGCGGTGTTGGCGCCCGATGTAGTACCACTCACTGGACTATCGATATCCTTACTGCTTGCAGGTTGACTAACAGCAGGTGGTGTCGTTGCCTTAGGCGTTGGGTTGCTGCTGTTTGATTTGGTGTTATTTGCTGTCGCAGTGGACATTGACAAGGTCGAATTTTTGCGAGAGTTCAAGGCACTCGCCGTCTTCTTAGACCTAGTACTGCTCCCTCCAACTGGTACGTTGGTCCCAGAGCCACGATTTCGCTTCTTAATCACATCCGTCTTCAAACTCAACGGTCTCACCACGCCGTGCAACTTCAGGAAAAGACCACATGCGTTACACAGTGGTTGACCTTCAGGGTTTCGTCTCCACAAAGGCGTTGTCTGGGTGAAACAGTTAGTACACGTGGTCGGAGCATTTCCGTCGTTGCCATTGCCGGCGGCTGTCTGCAAGTTGGTGGTTGAGCCCTGCTTTGACATTGGGGGCGAAGATGGTCTGCTTGGAGCCACAGACGAGAATCCTGACATGGTCCCGTTGGCATCACCAGCAGGAGAGCTTTGCATCGACTGTGCAAGCTGCTCAAAGCCATTCTGTTGTCCGCCAAAGTGAACTGGCGTGGACGCATTTCGCGGCAATTTAGGATGCTGCCTCCTTAGGTTTCCTCCTCTGAAAGACTGTGACTGTGATCGCTCGAGACCGCTCGATTCCCAGTCTCCATTATTATCGACAAAATCAGTTGTTGTTCCTCCGATCATCACCTGCTTGCGAGTTGGTCCACCGGGGAAGCGAGCTGCTTGGGTGCTGAACTGGCCTGGTAGGCTGGCATCCCAGCCCATGGCTCCCGACTCATCAAGTGATGAGGACATATCTTTTTGCATTGAAACATTGCGATCAGCAAATGCGTTATTATCCTCATCATCGGAGTCGGCTCCAAAAGAAAACATGTTGTCCTGCTGCATCTGAATCGTGGGTGAAGTGACAGCTGGTTCGTTTTGGAATACCTGAGAAGGGTCGATGTGTCCAAATGAGCTAGGAGCAGTGCTATATGCAGACATTGACTCCGATGCGGTTCCTGGAGCAGAGAACATAGTGCTGCCGCTGTTGCCGTTTGCGCCACCAATCATGAACTGCTGGCTAAGCATACTGCCAATGCTCTGCTGAAAGCCCTGGGGGCGTTGCGCTCGCGCATCCTGGGAGCCAAAATAAAATCCTTCCTGGTCAGGCATAGCATGAGGGGTCGAGACATTCGAAGGGTACGCAGATGCTGGTGGCGAGTAAAAGTCGTTGTTGTTATTGTTGTTCATAGATGCTGAAGGAACAGATGAATTGTGGTATATGCCAGAAAAGGGACCATGGGGTATCATAGGTGATGTTGAAGGAGAAAATGAGAAGTTCTGCTGGAAATTTCCATTGTTGTTGACCATGGAGTCATTTTCCATAAAAGTATCGAGGTTGAAGGGTACGTTGCCGCCATTAGACTGCTGAGGGATGCCGGCCTGGTTGGGCTGGTCTAAGGAATAGTCATGCAGCTCCGAATCAAGATCCAGATCATTCTGCGCGGCAGTGCTGTTGACAGCTGGGACTTGGGGTGAGAAATCAGCAGGGCGCTTTCGAGTCTGGTTGTGAAGGTTAGCAACCGAGCGCGAAACAAGTGTGCTATCACATGTAAAATAAAGAGTAACACATATTTGGAAGTTTGCGACGGACGAATGGAAACATGCGCCGCCGGTCACACAAAAGAGGAGTGGCATTCAGGGTTACTCACCCTGCGGTCATCGATGCTGGTTTTTCGTAGATGGCGGTTCACATAGTTGAACTCGCTACCCTGAGTAGCCTGGTGAATTGGCTGGACGGGGACCGACTGTGGGACAAAAGTCTGGTGCGATGGTTCCTTGCGGGATTTGATTGGGATGGCCGACGCCATTGAATTGCCGGACCTATCGTCAACCATTTTATCGCCTTCGGGAGACGCAAAGTTGATAGGCGAGCCAGAATTGTCAGAAAAAATGAAGTCGTCAAGATTCATGGCATCAGGTTGGGCCAGATTGTTTTCAGAAGACTTTCTCAGCTGGGCAATGCCGCTGGGAGAGCTTTGCATCATTGGGCGTCCAAGTCTGTCCGAAAGCCCTGGTCAGCACGTCATGGTCCAAAAGTAAGAACGTGATTCAAAGTACAAATGATGTTGCAGGAATAAAAGGTGATTTACATACCGGCTGCTGGCCTCCATGTTCTTTTTTCTTCGGGCATCTGCCTCGTCTTGCCTCTGCTGCTGCTCTGCCTTGTGCCTGCGTATGTTGAGAGCCATCATACGCCAAGTCAGATTCTCCATGCGGTGTTGGCTAGGGAGCTGGTGCTTGGTCCTCGCGAAGAATTTCCAGACCTGAGTCGCAAGCGGATCATCCTGCTGCATCCTGTCGATACTGCGATCGGAGTCGGCCAAACCATTCTGGAGAAATGGGAAAAGGGCGCTGCCGCCCAGGCCCTGCCGGGCAAGGGAATAGGTGGTGGCCATGTCGGTCTTGTGCTCCTTGAAGCTGGCCGAAGCGTCACGAGAGTTGGGGATGCGGTTCGAGTGGCCGCTGCGTTGAGTGGGAGCGTTGTGAGTAGCAGCGGTAGGCCATGCGCTTGGCCTTCTTGGAAAACGAAAGTCGTGCTCTGTTATTGTTGGGTTCATTGTTAGAACAGGACTTGAGTTTGCGATTGAGACAGATGTGCTCATGGAGGAAATATTGGACGGCTTGTGGTGGAGCGAGGACTGGACGAACTACAAAACTATGAGAGAGGGAAGAGAGTATGAGTGAGGGCGAGTGAGAGGCTGAGGTGACGAAGAGAAGGGCCCCCCACGTAGTGGCTTTAGCAGGAGGGTGTGAGAAAGTTCGGGTGTGGGTTGCACTGCTGCAGCTGCTTGCAGTCCAGATGCCGCTCAATTTACAGCAAGTATGGGTGGATGGTGCTGTAAGTTACAGAACCTAGCTGTAGCTATAGCTGAGAGCGGTAGGGCCCTGAACAGAAATCCAACCTCGCTGAGATCAGGGCAACCATCTCACCACACCCAAAAGCGGCCAGCTCAGACCCGACTGGGATACACCAGGTTCCGGACGGGGTGGGGTGCTTGTTTTTGGGGGGATGCTCCGGGGGCTTCAATGGGCACCCGGCGTCAGTGAAGAGCGGGCGAGCGGGCGCTGTTCACCGGAGGAGAAAGAGCGATTGAAGGGTGCTTGGTGTAGGTGCAGAGGAACGATCGAAGATGAGAACGTACGTTAAGGTATGTTTAAGCTGATGATGTATGTACTACGCACTGTAAGTACTGGTGCCGGTAAGGATGTACCTGTGTCGTCGAATGAAAAAGACTGACTGGTGGAAGGACGAGATGACGAGAAAGCCAAGAACTCAGATGTAGAGGGGGGAGGGATGCGGAGGGTTTTGAAAGTTGAGTTGAGTTGAGTTTAGTCGAGTCGAGTCAAATCGAATCTGAAGTTTACAAAGGCAACCTGTAGGTAGCCCAGGTATTCATCGAACCGATGGAGAGAAAGAAGACAGAAGGAACAGAAATGACTGGTTCGTTTATTTCCGTAAAGAGAGTAATCAATCGTTAGTGCCCCACGTTACTACTGCCAG